CTTTAACTACTCAAATCCTCACTAAATCTATTCCAAACTATCAGGTGAGATATCAAAGCTCATCCCAGAGGATTAGGGTTGTAGCTCAGTAGTAGAGCACTTGCCTAGCACACAAGGGTGTTCAATCTTCAAGGTCCTGGGGTGGTGGGAATGGCATCATAAGCAAAGCTTAACACGTATATGATAGGGTTATAATTCACATGTCTTCTTCCCAGGAGCCTCTAATGTAATTCATATGCCTCGGTGCCAGACAGCTCTGATTTAATTTTATTAGTAAAAAGACAGATAAAACTGATGAGATCTGTTTGTGCCACCAGAGGTACATGCTACCCAGCGGGACAGTCATGTGTGGCATTATGGAACAGTCATGCTTGTACCACTGGTGGTTCAAGCTGGTGGGAACTTGTTAAGGCAGAACTGTAGACCTGCTACTATCATTGGGTCATCCTTTCTTGGGACATAGCATCTGGACTTGTCTGGCTTCTGTAAGAAAGACCAGGCCTATATATGATATGCCTGCACACGTAGGCATGAAGTCACAGCAGATACTCTGAAGGAGCTACATATTCTCCTCCAAGGTATTTTGCTTTATAGTGATCTATAGGCCTAATCCAGAAATGTTTAGTTTTGCATTATTGGAAGAATTCTTCCTAACACTAAGCAAGTTACATTAAGAAGGACAATAATTAAAGCATCTACCTTGTGAAAAAATTTGAATACTCTTTTCTTTTTTTTCCTGATTGGTGGTATATAGAGAGTTAATCCACAGAATGCTTACCAATTAAAAACAGTTGGACAGAATGCTGGTCTAGGTATAAGAAGCTAATGTGATTTTTGTTATAAGCTGCTAATTCACAGGGGTTGTGAAATCAAGCATAAACTAAATAATAAACAGATGTGAGTCACCAAATATAGAATGCGTCAGTACTGACTGCAGTGGGACACTATGAGATGATAGGGTATTCACCGAAAGATACAATTTACGGGTCACAATGTAATAGTAACCTTTCACTATGCAAATTGAAAATTAACCTTGAGAGTATTAGATCATTTGTAGCTTACAGAGATTTTCTGTTGGGAAAAAATGTGTAGAGTGTCTTTCTTGTTTTAAGTTTAAAACAGCCTTATAGGAATATGCTCTTCTTCCCACTATATGAAGTCAGTTCTGTTGATGTCCATGTGTCTTTTCTTCAGTGCTATAATTTGGAGTATCTTGCTGACATTATAAATTACAGTATTGGATCATTGGTAGATGATTTTAGGCTCTTGGTACACTTCAGTCTCTTAGTAACACCCTGGAGACTCAGAGTGAGAGTTCTAATTCCAGTTCCACTGGTGACGCACCATTTAGCATTTAGTGCATAGTCCTCACCAACAACAGAACAGCAGTGTCAAAAGAGTGGATGCATGCTGCTATTGCTGTGTGATAAACTACCCTTTAAAACCTGGGATATCCAAAGCCCTTTGATATTTTCATGAGTACATCCTTTTTTCAGTCAGGTGAGTCCCGTAAGTAGGAGTTTTCTCACCCTTTAGTTATAGGGACTCAGTGACTTTCTCAGAGTAAGTCCTTCACTGTTTTCTCACAAAATATGAAAACCAGGAGCAAAGAAATTCTCTGCAGTATTTCACAAGCATTAAGCATTCCATCTGTTACTATTTGTATAATTTATCTTCTGGGAAGAGGGTAGAGAGATTTAATAAGATCATCAAATGAAGAAAAATCAAAAGTTGCTGATTAAATTTATTTTCCACAAAAGGAAGAAGCATCAATCACATGTTGAGAATGAGGTGCTTCATATTTTCTAATGTGTAATTCTGAGAGCTTCCCAGAAAATGTAGCAAAGTACTGTGCTTTGACACTCCCAGAATGCAGCAGAAGTTTAGGGCCTTCATTATTCTTGCTTTTTTGGTACCGGGGATTGAACTTGGGTCCTTGTGCTTGCAAGGCAGGCCACTGAACCGCTGAGCTAAATCCCCGGCTATTCTTGCTTTATATTCAAGCATACTTTGTTAAATTTCTTATTCCAGTCTGTTGTTTGTATTTTCCAATTTGATCACAATTTTTAGGTGCCAAGAGGTATTACCGTTATAAGGACACCATTTAATTTTCCAGTCACATATTAAGCACAAAGCATTAAACTTTTTCCTAAAGTGTAATTGTTCACCCAGTCATGTGTGCAGGGACAGGTGTACCACAGAAGCCTTGTCCTCATATGTGGCATTAACTAAACAGATCTGATGTAACTTTTCTCCTATATATGAAAACTGATTAATTTCACTGTGTTGCTTATACTAAAATAATAATTCCAATACATTTAAAGCTTTTAACATTTTAATATCAACTATATAATTTTATTAATGGAAATTTTATTTTTATGTATGATATATATCTAAATAAGTTTGGGCAGAGGAGAAATTTAAACACTGTATATGCTCATTCAAAATGCATGCTTTGAATTGTGCTCAGCTGCGAGGCTTGTGGAATGAACTACAGGATAAATAGTAGGGTCAGAGATGAATGTAGAAACAATGAAGGCGGCAGAACAGGCCAACCAGCTCTGTGCTACAGCCTCCAAGCCTCTCCAGGTTCTGGATGGGAACTGCTGATACTCCTAGGTATGGGTTGTATACAGTATCTTGGCTTCCTTTTTTTTTTTAACCTACCAGTAAGTATGACTGAATTGTGTACCACTTAGAAACAGCAAATGGTACCTCATTTTATTTTCTGTTTTCTGTGCACAGATGAATTACTCCATGAGAAAGGCTATTTTACTATCCCTCATGCCTTCTTTACAGAAATGCATTTCCAATTTTGTAACTGAAAAATAAAAGTATCACATAATTTCATTCTCAATCTTGATTTTTCAGTAATTCTATTCTATTATAGACTTACTCCATTATGTAAACTTTTAAAAGATTAGAAAGTTTTGTTTTTTCTCCATTATCTACATATACTTTGTAAATATAATAATTTTTAAGTGCCTAAATATATATGTGTGTCTTTATTATCCTGAAACAATAGTCCTACTTGTCTAGTTTGTTCCATTTGGAGATCCCGAGAAATGTTTGGGAAAGGCCCTACTAGAGAGATCCTGAGTGGAGTTTAGGGTGTCTGCTGCAGGTTTCTTCAGGATGAATCCTGCATGTTGATTTTCAGTCATGCCAGTAGATGGCCAAGAGAACTGAGGAATCATCCTCTCACGTACTCAGCATAGGGCATTTGATGCACTGGTTTTCAGCTCCATTCTGAGCTCTCTGCTTGCACAAGCCTCTCAGTAGTCCTGGAAAGCTGGTGTGTGGGATTCCCCTACAGTCCCTGACACTGTCCCTCGTGCCCAGCACACTGGGAGCTCCCAGCATGAAAAGCAAGGAAACAGCTATCCAGTATGAATTCTGGAAATCTCACTGGCAGTATTTTGCAGTTGGGCTTGTGGAAAGGTGCTTAGAAAATCTTTGCTCTAAAAATGATTCCTGGTCTGCCTGAGAGAATTTAATGGTCTCTGTGAGAAAGAACTAAGGATACAAACTCACAATTTATTGGTAACTTAAGTACACTGAACAGTGTGATGCAGTACAGTCATCACTTGCTCTTTCAGTAGCATGTCTTTTGTCATAGGAACCTGAGAGTTGGCCTCAATCTGGCCATCATACAGATGAAGAAGCTGAGATTTTGGGGTGTGCAGCCATTGCTCAAACTCTGGAACCTCATCTAGTAAGCCTAGAACCACAGCTGTTGAGAATCTTACTGCACATTCTCTCAAAGAGTATAAACATTCTTGCATGGATTTTCATAAAACATTTCAGATCAAATTCATAATATCCTGAACACAAATGAAATTTAAAATGTTCTTGAAACAATTTGAATTCTTAAAATCCAAGATAAATTCTTGAAAGTGTAGGTGCTAGTGAGACTTGAAGGTAAAAATGAGCTCACCCTGCCTTGTGAGAGGTGGGTTTGGAAGTGCCACTCCAGGCTCTGGAGATGTCCACATAACTCGTAGGTGACAAGGCTGTGCCTGGAGAGCAGAGGCAAGGAGAGATCTAACTTCAGTAAATCACGGAAGAAATTGTGGTTTTTACTGAGCCATCTGTCTGACGAACTCTCCAACCCCTGTGGCAGCACTGCTGTATTATAGATAGTATCTCATTGGATGGTGCTTCTTTAACTGCTAATAAGGTTAGTATATCATGTATTAACTAATTAATGTCTTGTAATGAAGCTTTTAAGGGCTTTCTCAGAAAACATTTGCTGTAATAAAATACTGTTTATAACATTAAAATTATTCTTCCACTTGTGATCTTTAAATTTTAATAATATATAACTTTAACTAGCATTAACTTATTTTTGAGTACCTACATATGCCAGGGAATTTACTTAATTCACATTTAGGCCAGCATGTTTTCCATATTATAGAAAAGGAAGTCAGGCCTTGGCCAAATACAGAACAGATGGATAGCTCTAGTCAGGCTCAGGGCCTGGCCTTCTATCTCCTTTGCTGCTTTGTCCCCTTTATATCGGCCAGTATTTAAGTAGACATATTTATGTACAGTTGATTAACCAGCCACCAGTTTTTCATTTGTTAGAATAAAGTCAAGATAAACAACTCAAATTCTTTGCTCCTTCATGGGGCCCCAGAATCTGAGGAGAGAAAATATGATGACTTACGTGACTGACTGGTGTGTGTTCTCTTCTAGGATTTAAACCTGTCTCATTCTGGGGAGCTAGTCAGCACAAACAGCAAAGAAATCTTTATGACACATATATTAGTCTGTTTTAAACAGTAAGGCCAAGAAACAGTTTGCCAAATTGCTTACTGTTACCTATAGAAGTGTCATTCAAAAATGTACACGTGACATAGCCATAAAAAAGAAACATCCTCAGTGCTATGTCTCAGCATTTACCACGTCTTCTTGAGCTTTTTGCATGCCAAGGTACTGTGCCATTTCTGCACAGCATCCACCAGGCAGTCAGACCTCACACACTGTGGTCTCTTCAGGTTGCACTTGTCCAGTGGACAGAGAGTGTTGGACTCACTCTGGTCAGCAGGGACCTCACTTCTATGCAGCTGAAGACGCCTGGTGGCCAAGTTCTGACCTACTGTATCCTGCAGATGTTCCCCTTCACTTCTGAGAGCAAGCGGATGGGCATCATTGTCAAGGTATGCTCACAGTATATTGGCTTTACTCTTGGGGCCTGCAATGAGACACAGTGCTTTTACAAATCAAGTCATTTATTTATTTTAAAGTAGATACAAAGTATTTCCCCAGACTGATAAATTTAAATATTTACTCAAATGTCTTATGCTTGTTATACTTTAAAAAAAAACTAATAACTTTTTACCAAGAAGCTAGTCAGCTGTAATGACATGAAATATCTGGTGATATAAAATAATTCTCCTAAGACTGCAAAAAAGAATATGTAAAGGATATTACTAATTTTAAAATCAACTGTACTTATTTTTTCAACAAAAGTGGCATCCCAAAGAGTTTCAATTAAATAATGATTTATGATTGTAAAGTTACTAAAGCGTATCTCTATTAAGGCTTTCTTGACAAAATTATATCTCTGAAGTTTGCTAAATACAAAGCAATTGAATCAGACTTTGAAAATTTGAGAGAAAATTAATGCTTACATTCTAGCCTACATTTTTATTCACTAACAAATTCTATTTAAAAAATTTCATCAAAACCTCTCAAGAAATACAATAATATATTCTCAGTTCTTATTGTGCTAACATTTAAGGGATAATTTCCACAAAGAAAAATGTGCAAATAGCTCATCACAGAGGAATACGTTCACTAAGAATTGCTTTTTCCAGTGCATTTTAGGCCAACAGTTAATTGCAAAGATTGATGTGACCCTCTGTCCCTGTGTGTATTTTCACAATTGCAGGATGAGTCTACAGCAGAAATCACATTTTATATGAAAGGTGCTGATGTTGCTATGTCCACCATTGTCCAGTACAATGATTGGCTGGAAGAAGAGGTAAATTATTTACTCTTGGAATTATGCAAAATGCTTTCATGAAATTTAATAAACAGATGACAGGAATACTATTTTTTCTCCAAATTATAGGCACTGGTATCATTGGAGTAAGTTGAGCAATCAAAATTTCAAACCAGACACCAATCATTGCTAGAGACAATAACATTTTCCAAGTAAATTATTTTAAGTGCTCATGGTTTTCCTGCATTTCAGAAAGCAGAAAGTAATCCTGTTTAATTATAACTAATTTTCTTCTTTTGAAATTATTACCTTTTTGTTTTAGGTACAATGTATATAGAGATGTACAACCAGGTCCTTACAAAGAATATTCTATATGTAGTCTTAAAAGCAGGAGAAAACATTGAAGTCATTCACAAGAGAATTTTGAAATAATTTCACATGCACAACCAAAATTAGACTTTAATATTTTTATTTTGTAACATAAATATGTACAAGGCAATTCTAATTAGAATTTTAATCAATGCTAATTTGTTCACTTAAAAAAATAGAAAATAAGGTATGCATGTAACTAACCCTATATTGAATTCTCTCTAAACAAATCTTATTTGTAGTTAGCCTGATGAGGTTATATAATTTATTGTTGATTTGATATATTAATCCATAGTTGGATTTCACAGTAAGTCTAAGGCTAACTGTAATCATAAACATGGCCTTTTTTCCTATGTGTGTGTTACTTTCTGTGCTAGTGTCTCTCATCTCCCTTAGACCTTAGAGAAGTTCTGTCTGGACAGAAGGCATACCCGATGTCTGAGATAGTATTGGCAATATGAATCAATAGCTCCTTCAGGGCACTTTAATTTAATCAGAGGCATGAATAAATTAGACTCCCTGAAGACCTAGTAAAATGCCATAAAAATTACTTTTGGTCATAATAATGTGCAATTAATTGTAAAATACTTGTTTAATTTATTTAGCTTTATGAGGTCAAATCAATAAATGTCTTGCAGCAGACAGATATGTCAGATTGCTTTTCACACAGATAACTTTATTAAAATGCCTGTGTACATTTATTATCTGAACACTGTATTTCCTTTCCATAGGTAAATCTTTTGACCCTTCACCAGTGTCTCTGTTGTAATGTGGTAGTCTGAAGCCTCTTGTTTTGTTACGAAACAAAGCAAAGCAGTGGCTCTCAGAGCCTGACTTTGTTGTAAGCTTTGTGCCTCAAGTAGGTCCTAGAGTTGGCTTCCTACTGTAAACTATTGTTCTTTAAGTGTAATGAAATGTACTTTTCATTGATGATATAACAGAAAGGGCCATTTTTGAAAATCTGAAATGTCAAAATATTTAATTCTGTGAACAGATTAAAAATAATAGGGTTCTGAATAGAAAGAGGGATGGAGAGAGTCAGCCTCATTCTCTCTTAAGACAAACTTGAATTAGACCTTGACATCCTATCCCCAGGGGAAAAAAGCCCAACTCACCTCTGTGTTTCAGTGAAGTCCCCTCCCTCATCTACATTACCTGGTCCTGTGAGCATCCTGGTTGTGATGCAGTGATAGTGCCTTTTAGCATCTCCATATCCTGGTCATAAGAGCATCCTGAACATGAACACTTGAACACTGGGGAGGACATAGCTCGTGTACATCTTTGCCTGATGCCTACCACAGCCTTCAGATTTAGCAATATGCATCGATCCAATAAGTAGGATGAATTAAAAAGGAATTTTCAAAAATCTGAATAATCATTTTTATATGCCTACCGATTAACGTTCTATTGCCAGATGCAGTACACTGGCTTCATTAGAGGTGGATATCCCATATGGAGGCCTTTTTTTTTGCACTAAAAGGATAAGGGGGTGATATGCCCCTACCTGTGACCATGGAGACCATGATGGCCCCAGAATTGAGTTTGTACTGCCTACCAGCATTCCCGAGGCAGTGTAGGATTCCTAATCTGGCCTAGTTCTGAGCATAGATAACGCTAGAGACACACAGTTCCAGTTCTCTCTGAAGCATGACTGTCCATCACTTACTGTCTGAATTGTCTGTGGCAGCTGCAGTGTGTATCAGTATTTCTTGTACCTGTGCAACATCACAGAGGCCACAAGAGCCTTCATAGGACCATGGTCACTTTTCGTTTCCCACTGTACAGACTCTACAATCAGTCATAGTATTCCACAGCCAAGATCACTGTCATCAAAAGAAGATGCCCTTGTTGAAGTACAGGAGCATGTTATGTTCTCCAGCTATAATGTAATCCTAGAATTTGCAGTTATCACCTTTGAAAGGTTTCTATCTACCAGTGTGTAGTGACTGGGCTTTAGATCCCAGCACCACCTTGGCCAGATCCCATGCAGGGGTCATCTCCATCACAGGCCCAGAGCCTGAGCTGGGAACACCAGTTTGGGCTGTGACAGTTCTTATAGTTCCAGGGAAGAATGATCAGAACTGTGTTCTCCCTGTTGCCAACTACAAATGCTCAAAACAACTAACCATCTTCCAGTTTGGTGCATTTAAAATGTTATTAAAATTTGAAATAGTTCCTCAAAATTTGACATTTGAGAGAGACAAGAAGAACTAGATAAAGGAATTCATATATCATTCTGTACTTCAAAGTGTAAATAAACCTATCAGCAGGGGAAAGTCACCTTAAAGCATTTTAAATTATATTGTTTCACTAGGTAGAAATTGTTTTTCAAAACTTGATAGTTCACCAGTAGGGTAGCTAAGTATTCACTATTAGTTTCTTAGTAATAAACTCTGTAGCTTCTTGTGTGTTTGTCCCCCGGTGGAGGAGATTGCTATCTGTCCCTGAGTCTCTGCCTTGCTCCACATAACAGAAGATATGTTGCTCCTGGATTGCCCAGGCTGTGTTCCAAAATCTTCTCCCAGGGAAAGTGATTGCAGATGGCCCGCATTCTTCTTGACTGTCACAGAGCCAAGCACTCTGTCCCATGTGCTTGTTGTCTTTGCCCCCAGAATACTGACATTTTGGGGCAGCCCTGTGCCTGCTCATGGCTGTTGAGGAAAAAGACAGTGTCTGGCTTCCAGAAGGCCAACCAACCACTTCCATTTCCCTCAACTCTCTTCTCGGCCTGGCTGCACCATGCCCATAGGAGACAGGGCTCAACAGTTTCTTACCACTCGGGACTCTGTGGCACATCACTGGAACACACCTCTGATGCATCTCCCAGCATGACCTGGTCATTTCCACATCAGTACAACCACCTGAGAGGTGGTTGCTGCTTCCAGTTTACCCATGAGGGGTGGCGCTGAGCATTGTGAAGGTCACAAGGCTTGTTAGTGCAGCTCCACATCACTCTTCACTGGTTGTGACAAAAATCTTCAGTGTAGTTATTAATATATGTGCCATTTGAAGTTTTTTTTTTTTATATTGACCCCTGTTCTTGACAAGGATTGACCTTACATGGGAGTGATGGCAAATGATACAAACAGCCTGCCACCACCAGTGTGCCATAGGTTCACCATCAGTTATATGGTTGCATTGTTGTATGCATTTGCAAATGTAGGCTAAATTTCCAAAGTTGGTGTTCCTGGATGCAATTTAAATTTCGAAAAAAGTCGTAACTACCTTCAAATAAGCATACCCCTGACCCTACCAACCCTGTACCAGACAGCCTGTTAGTTTGGTTTGGTTTAGATTTTTTTTTTCCAGTACTGACAATTGAACCCAGGGCCTTTGCACTAAGCTACAACATCCCCATCTATTTTTATTTGTTTATTTATTAATTATTTGAAGCAAGGTCTCATTAAATTGACCAGGCTAGACTTGAATTTACAATTCTGCTTCCCAGAGTCCTGGGATTACAGAAGTGTATGCTCACATGACCTGTTTTTTCAACCTTTTACCAACTAAAACTCAAGTTTATGCTTCTAATGGGGGGAAATAGTATTTTATTATTTTGATGCATCTTCTTACTGTGAATGGGATTCCTATCTTTCACATACCTATTGAATGCATTTCTGGGTGTTGTTGTTGTTGTTGTTGTTGTTGTTGTTTGTTTATCTGTTGGTAGAAACAAAGTCTTATTCTGTAGTTCTGGCAGAACTTGAACTCTCCATGTAGCCTGGCCTGACCTTGAACTCACAGTGATCCTACTGCCTCACCCTCCCATGTGCTGGGATAATAGGGATGCAAATCATGTGGTGACTCCTCCAGGGCTCCTCCTTGACTGTCTCATGATATCTGAACTGCAGGGTCAAATTTGTGGGGCTCCTCCACCAGCCCCAGCTTTCACCAGTGCCCTGACTGATGGTAATGACTCTATGATCCACCTGACTCACAAGGCCAGGAAATATGAATTGAAAATAGTGCAACAACAATAATGAATGTCTGGCACTAATTTTCTGTCACACACTACCACAAGACTTTACACACATGAACTGACTTAGTCCCAGAACATCCCTATTAGAGTTCATATCTACTGGTTTGGAAACTTGAGGCAAGGATAGCTGCATGGTTTGCCCAAGAACACATAGCTATCTGTTGGAGAAACAGCATTTATACCCACCCTCTTAAATCTATAGTCTTAGCACAACATTCCACAGGAAGACTTCTCATCCTCCAGGCCTTATTTTACGTACTGCATATAACCTGGTGTCAAACTTCAAGAACAGTAGTGGGCTTGAAAGAAGAATGTGCGCTGTGATAGGAAGGTGCACTGCCACTACCAGGAGAACAGCTTGGCCCCACCTCCAGTAACTTTCTTCCCTTCATCTCAAGAGAACAGTAAGATTGGTGACATTGGATGGATTAAGAGATTAAAATACTGAATTTACTGCAATAAGCACTCTGCTGAAGTTACACCCAACTGCCATGTTTTACTTATGTCCACTCATTGAGGAGAGAGAAAATTTACACTATGTGAGGTTTATGGCCCTCACCACCCCCATGCTTGTGTACAGTGGGCCCACACAGCAGTGAGGACAGCACAGTAGTATTGCCAGAGTGACCTTGATAGCACCATGAGGCCTTGTCACTGTCGTGTTAGTCTCCTTGAGGGGCCCATGAGTAACTTGGCCTGTCTTTTTACAGTGTGGAAACATGGCACGTGAAGGGCTCCGGACTCTCGTAGTGGCAAAGAGGGCACTGACAGAAGAGCAATACCAGGACTTTGAGGTGAGCCAGAGTCCGTCATCCACCACTTGCAGACTTGTCTTTGATGTGGGTCACTTTGTTTTTGTGCTGGCATGAGTCCTCTAATTATGTGCATGTGCTGTTATGAGGCCAGTATCACTGCAGCTTAGGGGTGGAGGCAGTCGAGCCCAGTTGGAAAACTCTGTCTAACCCCACTGCCTCCAGTGTCAACAAGAGCCAAGACATTCCATTTCTTGAGGACAGGCTAAGCATGCCTTGTCCCTCCCCAACACACTTGGGAATAGAACTGGTTCAGACTTCAGACTTGTTTGGATATTTTGAATATTTGCATAGACTCCACTGACTTAGCATCCCTAACCTGAAAAGTTTAGCTCCAAAATCTGAAATCTTTTGAGGATCATGATAGTGCTACTTTTCTATCTGATTTTATGTCTGATTTTGGAGTATTTCAGATTTTCCAGTTAGAGATGCTCTACCTGTATTGTAAATTTTTATGTAGTGAATTATTAGAAACCACCTGTACACAGCACACACATAGAGTACATACACCTGTGTACACAGTGTGTCTCCTCTGTTCTCAGAGCCGATACAGTCAAGCCAAACTTAGTATCCATGACCGGACACTGAAGGTGGCCGCAGTGGTGGAGAGCCTGGAGAGGGAGATGGAGTTGCTCTGCCTCACTGGGGTGGAGGACCAGCTGCAGGCTGATGTGAGGCCCACGCTGGAGATGCTGCGGAATGCTGGGATCAAGGTAGCGTACTGCTCCTGGCTCCCCACATGGCTTTCTTTTAAGCAAATTCCTGTTTTCATTTTAACTATTTTTCTATGACAGTCTTGTGGGGTGGTAGATAAGAGATGTTCATAAGTTAAGTTTCACCCTAGCTCCTATCCTTCCTTGCCACCATAGCCTGTGCACCTCCAGAAATGTCTCCAGAAACTACCCCTACCTCCAGAGTCTCTGGTTTGCCCATTCCTCCCCAAAACACATGTATTTTCCAAAGATAGATGTAAAGCCTACAGCCCACTCCACCAAGCATCCTTGGTTCAGCCACTTGTCCTACCAGTTGAGGTTTCCTTCCCTTCTATCAGCCTATTAAAATCCTTCCTGCATCATAGAATTAGAGTCTGAATGTAAAGATTTTTCTTGAAGTAGATTGCAAGCACCCCAGACCTCAGTCTTGGTGAGCTTTCATGGACCCATGTGTGTTCAGGTGTCAGTTGAGTGCTTTGAGTTTGGATTTCACATACTGATGAATCATGCATGTGCTGAAACACCTCATGCTTAAGGGCTTCTAAGCCATTGACAAAATCTGAGTATTAGCTAGAGTATACAAAAGCCTGTTCCATCTATTCACTTTAGTTGTGTATCTGAAGTTATAAGTACACACTCTCACAGACTCAGAAGGCACAAAGGAGCCTGTGATGATAAGCACCCCTTGTTCTCCTGCCTGACAAGTGAACACTGCAACAGGATCCCTCTTCCAGAGATGGTACAAGCCTGTAGAAGCAAACACAAAAGTGCTTTTCTCTTTCTAGCTTCTTGTCAAACACATGTGAGTTATTTCCCAGCTCCTGGTACATCAGGTACTGACTGCATGAGGGCTCTTGAGGAACAACATCTTCTCCAGAGTCTCCCTTTGCCTGCACACCTGCCCCATTGTGGCAGGTTGGCAGTTGAAACATGGTATCTGCAATATTCCCACTGATACTCTTTTTTTTTTTTTTTGGTACAGGGATCAAACTCAGGTCCTTGTGCTTGTGAGGCAGGCAGTGGAACTACTGCCCCACTGACATTCTTGATAGATGAGCTGTAGCTCCTTATGAAGTATGAGTTGGGTTGTATGTTGGTGTTGTCCCTGGAAGGCACATAGCAGCGTGCTTCTTTTCTGTGCCCATTGATCTAAATCTTACTGATTTGTCCCTTCATGTCCAGAGGAACTAGTACTTTGAAGCATTTTATTTTTTAGGAAGCTACTTTCTTACTACTCTCATTGAAGCTCAGAGTTCAGTGATAGACTTCTACAGAAAATTTATTTTAATGCTACCTCAAGGATTGGAGATCTACTTTTGAGGATAGAAAAAAAAGTATAACTTGTCTTTGAAAGAAAAACTGTATAGTTAGATGAGAGAAGCAAACTGAAGGGAAGATCGGAGACAAAGCAATGGCTGGCTCCATCTTACCAATCCACCCCCAATTTCTGAGGTGATTCAGGTGGGTGAAGGTATAGGGAGAGCTGGTATCACCCAGCTGGTAGCAGACAATATACCATGACACTGCTCCAATATCAGACAGATTAGATAAGAGCTCATAGTTAGAGGAGAGCAGTCCAGACTCAGCATTTAAATTACTCAAGCTTGAGTGTGTTGTTCAAAAGCAGATGGGGCTGGGGATGTAGCTCAGTGGTCCCACCACCTGCCTCACAAGCACAAGGACCTGAGTGCAATCCCTGGTACAAACAAAAACAAACAAACAAACAAAAAAACAGATGACCTCATTTCAAAGAGCCTTCAATCTATTTCTTCATTGTACATGATAGATTATGCACATGTTAAGGTAGTAAATGTTCCTCATATAAAGGTTTAAATATTTATATTAGTTCTTTGCTAAACTATGTAAGTATGTTGTGTAAAGGACCAGACTCTATTGCAAATACCTCATGCCTGACCTGACTCCAGATACTCCTCCAAAGCTGGAAGGGACATTTACTTAAAGCAGATCTTAGATCTCATGTACATTTCCCCAGTCTGTCCCCCAGCATGTGCCTTTAGCCTCCTGGGTTGGACTGTATGAAAGAGGAAAAGAAGAATAGGGCCTCCTTTATAGATAGTCTTGCCCATTGTGTAGGTACCACCCAAAAGTGGACAACTGCAGCACTACAGTCTTTCTGGGACATCCCTGAAAGACATTGGTGAGGGGGAAATAAATCTTCACAATGGGCTGAACTTTGGAACATGTGCCTGGTTGTACATTTTACTTGAAAGGAAAAGTGGCCAAATGTGCAACTATATACTGATTCATGAGCTCTAACTAATGGTCTAGCTGGATGGTCAGAGACATGGAAAGAACATGAATAGAAAATTGGTAACAAAGATACTTGAGGAAGAAACATGTACATAGACCTTTTCATATGGGTGAAGGATATAAAGATACTCATGTCTTATGTAAATGCTCATTTAAATGTGACCTCAGCAGAAGAGGATATTAATAATTAAGTGGATAGGATGACCTATTCTGTGGATGTGGATAGCAGTCAACCTTTATCTTCAGCCATCTCTGTAGTTGCCCAGTTAACTCATGAACAAAGTGATTATGGTGGCAAGGATGGAGGTTATGCATGGGTTCAGCAACCCAGACTTACACTCACCAAGGTTCATCTGATTACAACCACTGCTGAATGGCCGGTATACCAGCAGCAGAGACCAATGGTATGGTCTCTGCTTGGTATGGCACCATTCCCTGGGGCAGTCTATGACCTGGTGGCAGCTTGATTACATTGGACCTCTCCTGTCATGGAAAGGGCAGTTCTTTGTCCTTACTGGCATAAACACTTATTCCGGGTATGGATTTGCCTTTACTGAATGTAGTGCTTCTGCTAAAACTATCATCTGTGGACTTACAGATTGCCTTATCCACCCTCATGGTATCCCACACAGCATTGCCTATGACTAAGGAACATATTTCATGGCCAAAGAAGTAAAGTAATGAATGGTTTGATGCTCATGAAATCAACTAGTCTTACCATTTCCTCACTATCCTCAACACCTGGATTGATAGAAAGATGGGATGGCTTTTTGAAGATGCAGTGCAGTGCCAACTAGGAGGCAATAGTTTGCAGGGCTGGAGCAAAATTCTATAGAAGCCTGTATATGCTTTGACTAAACATCTACTCTCTGATACTGTTTGTCCCACAGCCAGGATTCATGGGTCTAGGAATCAAGGGGTGGAAATTGGAATGATAGCACTCAACATTACCCCGAGGTACCCAATAGAAAACTTTTTGCTTCCTGTTCCCAGGACTTATGCTCTGCTGGCCTAGAAGTCTTAGTTCCAGAGGGGGAAAAGCTTGGACCAGGAAGCACAACAGTGATCCTATTGAACTGGCAACTCATTTTGAACTGAACTTTTTGTTTTGGGCTCCTCATGCCTCTGAGTATACAAGCTAAAAAGGATATTATAGTGTTGGTGCAGTGATTGATCCAGACTACCAAGAGGAAATTGAACTATTACTCCACAATGGAGGAAAGGAAGTGTACATTTGGAGTGCAGGAGATCCTTTAGGGCATTTCTTAGTATAAAAACCATGTCCTATTATTAAGGTCAGTAGTAAAGTACAATAACCCAATGTATGCAGGAGAACAAATGGGCCAGAACCTTCAGGAATGAAGGTAGGGGTCATCCCATCAGGAAAAGAGCTAAGACTTGCTGAGGTGCTTTTTGAAAGCCAAGGGGATGCAGAAAGGGCAGTAGAAGATATGACTGAATGACCAGTTACAGAAACAAGGGTTGTAATTGTTTTTCTCTGTTTTGTTGATATGCTTGTCTACATGTAGACATATATTAAGCAGGGATCTTTGTTTTCTTCCTTCTTAACCTGATATTCATAGACTTAATATCAGTTCTTAAGTACTGTTAAATCTATGCTATAATGTTTAAGTTATGAAATGTTAGAAGAGTAAGCATCACCCAGAGAAAAACTTCATCTTCTATTCTGGGGAGGGAATAAGTGCGTTTTCTTTTGTATGCTGGATAGTTGTATCACATTAGGCATATTGTACATTGAGACTAAGATGTGGTTTAAGTAAGTGGTTCTGTTGTCAAGTTGACAAGGGGTAGGTTGTGATAGTTAATTGGGATGCAAACTTGAAATAGATTAGGAAATACCTAGTGAATAAGTGGAGCACAGTTACGGGTGTTTCTGTGAATGGTTAACATACAGGCCCTAAACCAAGAAAGGAAGAACTACAATGGATGTGGGTAGAACCAGCCAGTAGGCTTATAGCCTAGATGGGTTAAAAAGGGAAAGAAGTCTTCCTTTTCTGCTTCTTTGGACAAGCTCCAGTCTTTGCCATTGCCTTTGGGCATTTGTCTCCAGTGCCTTCAGGTTTTCAGTGCAAGCTCTTTCACCTTCCAACACAGATTCTTAACTTTTTGATATGGACTCGCGCCAGACTACAATGAACGCCAAGCCCTTAACATTTGACTGGATCCTTTAGCTCTCCAGCATACACATAGCCCTTTTTCATTCTTCTATCCTAGGCTCCATAGGAAGCCATTGTAAGCCTACTTTGTAAATATTTTGTGTATCTTTTTTTTATATTAAATCTCTCCCGGGCCAGGGATTTAGCTCAGTGGTTCCACCATGTGCCTCACAAGCACAAGGACCAGAGTTTAATCCCTCATACCAAAAAAATAAATAAATAAAAAATAAAAATCTGTTCCTCTAATGTAATGAAGCTTGGCACAGGTACATACAGAGTCTGGCAAAAAAAATATGTGCATCAGGAAAAGAAAAACTTATATAAATATTTTAATACTAAATTTATTGAGACATCATGAGATTACAAGTTTCCTTTGGCTTCTGCAATTATAGGAGGTACTCAAAGTGGTAGCCTTTAGCTTTCTTATTAGGCAGACTACTGAAGTGTGTATACATTTTTTGGGCAGACTCTACGTATTAGTTGTCTGTTAAACAGTATAAGATTTTTGTGTAAAGGACTAGAGCTTGGATCTCATGTGCATTTCCGGAGTGATCCACAGATTGCTTGGCAGTTCTTTTCCACTTCGTCAGAGTAATGTCTCATCCCCTTAATTCCAGGAAAGGGAATATAAAAATGTATTAAGCAGGGGCTTGGATTTAGCTCGGTGGTGCCACTGCCTGCCTTGCAATTGCAAGGTCCTGAATTCAATCCCCAGTACGAAAAAAAATAACATATGAAGTAAGCAGCACAACTTTTTAGGCTGGAGAAGAACCATAGGTACATTATACCTGAACAAATAGTGTCCTGTATAACTTTTTTTCTATTTTCTGTTTCCAAAAAAAAATATATCTTTCTGTATGGTACATAAGAAGTGTGAATGATGCATATGATAATGAGAATATTTCTGGAGGTTTTTTGCTATTATGTAAAAATATAAATAAAAAGCTTTTCATAATTAAATGCCCTGATATTGTACTTTTAGTCTAGGGATATTTATACACACATATGTGCATGTGTGTGTCATAACATGCAACCATGACAGCGCAGAAGCTGAAAGATTACTTGGGAGATGACACTTGTTCTAAATACTGAGATACCCAGAGGGGCTGATTCAGAGATTCAAGTCTCAGGGAAAATAGCAGTAATTTGAGAATCCCCTGGCCTTTTATTTGTAACCCAAGGACATGAGAACAAAGATGGAGAAGAAAAACATTTGCAGTATTTGAATAGGAGTTTTCTTCAGGGAGAAGGGAAGGATCGGTATGGCTTGTTACTTGACACATGTTGGCCTAGTTTTAGCTAGCTTATCAGGCAGGAAACTTATCAGAGAGTAGGAGGAACACAATGGCCAGAGCTACCATCTCTGAGAATAACTTATTATTGATTCTGCTTGGCTTGTTGCTTCTGCTGATCAGCTCTAATCATTAACCATACATTCTAGGACCCTGGGAACTGTTGTTCCAAGATCCCTTCATCTTTGCATTCATTTCAAGCACTCCTCTGGCCAGAGCTTTCCCACATGTATGTACAGTTTTTAATGTAAAAGTACCACTATTTGACATGTTTTATTCAATATAAATAACTTTTGGCCTACCTATGGGCCATTTGCTCATTTGAACTTAAGTTGCTTTCCACATGAAAAACCAGCAAAATTGAAATAAAAAGTATTGTGTTTCTCCTAGCTCTGTGTGCTGCCTTGTCAAGCCTGTGTGAATGGCAGACAATGTAAATGTTGCCTTTGGCCATCTGTAGGAATCTGCATTAGATTTAATCATGTACCTCCAGATCTCAGCTGCTGCATCTGAACATCACTTTGGTCTTATTTGTTTTGTTTTACCTAAACAAGTCAATGCAGACAACAGAATTTACCTTTTTAATCACTTTTAGGTGTATAGTTTGTTGTATAATGTATATCCTCAATGTTTACAACCACCTCCTGTCTCCAGACTTTTCTTCTTCCCAAACTTTGTCCCCCTCTCCAACCCCTGGTAACCTCATTCTACTTTCTGGCTATGTGAATTTGACTTTTCTGGATATTTTAAACAAATGGAATTATGCAGTATTTATCCTTTTGTTTCTAGCTTATTTCACTTAGCATAATGTCTTAAGGTCCATCTGCGTTGTGTTAGAATCTCCTTCCTTGCTAGGTATGGTGGCACATGTCTATAATCTCAGCAACTCAAGAGGCTAAGGCAGGAGAATCACATGTTCTAGCCCAGCCTAGGAAGCTTAGTGACTTAGGAAAATCCTATCTCAAATTTTAAAAATTAAATAAAATAAACTGGGCTGCCTGGGGATGTAAAGGCTTCTTGCTTTGGTTCCCAGTCCTAACCCTTCAAAAATGTTTTTCCTACCTTTTTAGTGCTCAATAATAAGCTATTGTGTGGATAACTACATTTTGTTGATCCGTTTATTTTGTCCTTGGACACTTGTGTAGCTTCACCTTAATAATGAGTGTACAAATGTCTATTCAAAAATGGACGCTTTTAAGAAATTAGAATTGTATTGTTGAAATTTACCAGTTTAAATTGTTTTATAGATATGGATGCTAACAGGCGATAAACTTGAGACAGCTACTTGCATTGCCAAAAGTTCGCATTTGGTGTCTAGGACACAAGACATTCATATTTTCAGACCAGTGAGTATGTTTCTAAATCACACTTAATTTTTAAATGTTTTTTTCACAATTAAAACCTATTGTTTATGAAAATATATATGTGGTTATATATTTCTTATAAATATATGTTAAAAATATGATCAAAAGTTGCTTTTCGATAAATTCTAAATTTAAAAGCATTTTAACTGTTGTACCATTAGTATTATTTATTACTATTTTTATGTAGGCATACTGTGATAGTTTTTTATTAAATGTATAAAAGTATGTATTGGTTTCAGAAGCATTGTCTATTAGTTTCACACATTACAGTTGGTCCAGAGGCTTTCCAAACCAAGCTCTAAATACTAAGTGGAAATATGTTTTTAATCTGTCATTTTCAGATTAAATGCTTTTTCTTAATTAGCTCTAAGAAAATTAATACAAATTACCTAAATTTGTCATTACTGTATATATTAGCTATAACTATATTTAAATCAAGTGAAAAATAAAAGTTCCTTGGATCTAGATTGATGATGGATGAGCAGACATCTGTGACTGTGGCTGTCTAAATGTAGTGTTTCCACCTGTAGAAATCGCTATTTGAGTGTCATTTATATGTAAATGTGTTTTGTTTTGAAGCATCAGAATCACAAATTAGGCCCTGCAGACTACTATTTGCAATTAAATTATTAATGCTTCTGATAAAACTTCCAATCAATTTTTGTTGACTTTTCAGTGTTACAGCACCACAAATTAAATTTTTCTCAATAAAATCTACCTATTTAAAAATGAGTCTGACATTAATTTATGAAGCTTTTCTCTCCTATAATATATCATTTCTTTTATGACCCATAAAATCTCCACAGAAAGAATGTCAGAAACAGTATGTTTTCATTCTAAAATTATTGACATTTTAAGACTCTGACTTTAATTTTATTCATTTAGATTACTTAATCCTTTAGATGCTAAGCCAAAATTAAATGAGATAAACAGAAACCTGTAGCAGAGAAAAATAGAAGCAATTTTATAAAAGTATTTTGTTTCATTCTATGTGTTATGAAAAAAGACAACTTTAAATAAAGCCCTGATTTTAGATAAATCTTTCACTTACTTGATGTGCACTAATGAGTGACTTCCATGGACCCTGACATTCTGATTTATGAGATAAATTCTCCAAGACACTACACACCTATACCCACCTGCCATACCTGTCACATTAGTAAATTATTATTCTCATTGTCAATTATTGGTGCTATATATTAAAGGAATGTATTTTTAAGGTCAGTAGCTTCCACATTGCTAGTGACTGCCAATGTGTAGGCATCCTTTCATATGAATTTCAAGAGTGTGCTGCTCTCATTGCCCTATATACTATAAATTTCCTGCTTTCTTTCATTGCAAATCAAAAAACATAGTCACCTGAGTACTGCAGAAGAAATTTGAAAGGACCTTGCTGTAGGACTTCATATGTACCTTGGGTTCTAGACACTGTATTTGAAAGATCTTACGTGATTCCCCAAATAATGTCCTCCTGGTCTGTGCTTCTAATTTAGAAGCCATTTTAATTTGTGATACTTTTTTCTTCTCTAATGGAGGTAACAAGTCGGGGGGAGGCCCATTTGGAGCTGAATGCATTTAGAAGAAAGCATGATTGTGCACTGGTCATATCTGGGGACTCCCTAGAGGTAAGGTTGGTTACCAACCCACCATGTGTCTGTCTGTCTCGTGAGATAAGACATTGTTAACCAAGCATGTGTCTGTCCATGTCAGTGGACCAGGGCTTCTTGAATGAAGCTTGTTCATCAAGCAACCTTGCCTGTCTGCTGTGTTGGTTAGTTTCTCCAACATGGCAATGATTCACAACTTCTGAACCATCTAGCCTGAGGATGTATCCTGGCTATGTCTGAGTAATTTTGTCTCTTACTGTTCAGAAGTTGATTGATTTCAGCTGACCCAGAGTAGTCTTGGGCCCCTGCTCACTGTTACCAAATCTATCCTCCTTGTAGCCCTGGCCATAAGATTCTTGTTCTGAGTTTATCCAAACCAGCATTTCCAAATGCATGTGGGATGTATAAGAGCTGCCTGTTAGAGAGAAAAAAATGGCTCTCTCTCTAATCAGATCCTGTCCTTTTAATTCCCAGAGTACCTCAGACAGACCATGGGAAGGAGGGAAGGCCTTGGTTCTAGCTGTTGGCTAGTCCTGGGGCTGGAATGTTCAAAGTGGCTTCATTCCTCATTTTAAGCATGGCTCTGGTACTGGGCTGGGTGTTCTCTCCACCCAGCTTTTCATAGGTCTCTGGACCTGGTCACCTCAGACCTCATATGCCTCTTGCTTCCTCAGAGCAGCACACCTAAAAGTAGACCCCATCAGCCTGTACTTCATGGTACCTATTGGAGGGCAGCCATCATTCTCCCTCACCCACCTGGAGTACAGGGGGGTACTTGTCCCTTAGCTGTCACTGTGTTAGAGAATATGTGGGGCTCTGTAGGAGAAATCTTCTATAGGAACACCCAAAGAAATTGCCCCACAAGGCCCTTGTTCTCTTTCACAGATAAAGGCACTTTCCTGTCTCCTCCTTGTTGCTTGGTATTACTTATACTTAGTTCATGCCTGTTTTTCAGAGTTTGACAGTTACACAGTTGAAGTAGCCATACTGTCCTGCTGTGGCTCCACACTTTCTTCCCTCAATACGCACTGACACTGTTTTGGGCCTCATATTTTAGCATTTGTTTTCATACCTCCAAATAAAAGTGTTTTTTGTAGAGTTATGATTTGTTTCTTTTAAACTTTTGAAAATATCTATTTAATTCCTGCTAAGGAAGATGTCATTGTCTGTCCTTGCTTTTGTCCTCCCAATATAGTTAAATCCTGAATTTTGGTTGGATCAGTGTTCAGTGATGGATAGATGGCATTGGTTTTATTCTATTCTGATATGTTCCCCAAAAGAGATACATGTGTCACATGAGAATAAAAATTATATAAATGAGGAAGTTAAAGCAAAGAGAAAATAAGGAAAGGAAACTAAAATAGTCATGTTGTATGAGAATGAGTTCTAGGAATCCCATAGAGACTCTGCCAATGTGGCTTGGGGCTTCTTTGCCTCCCTGAGAACAGAAGGAAAAACAACAGAACAGAGGTAGCCAGAGGCCCTGTTCAAACAGACTAGCAAAAGTACTTCTAGCACCAGCACCCGTTTACCACCACCTGGACTGCTGCTGGACAGGGAACTGTCACACCTTCCCCTGTAAAGCACTTGCTATGTGCTATAGTGTACTGTTGCTATGGAGCTAGCAGCTGAGGAGAAATAAACATTTTCTTATGTTGGTGATATTTTGTACCATTTGGTGTGAGAACTTGGATTTTCAGTGCTCATTCTTCATGCTTGGGAATGATTCCAGTTACTCACAGAATGAGTAGACTCCATGCCCTTCGGGCAGTGCTTTGGAATTTTAGTTTTCTCAACCAAGGTAAGGAATTAGTAACTAATGCTGTCTCCTTGACAAGAGCCTTGTGTATTTAAAATCACATATCAAAACACTTTTTTATGAGCCACTTGCTAGGAAGAAGAGGCTGAAATCATCTTAAAAACAGTCTAATAGGAAAGCTTCCCGGAGTGCCCAAAGCACTTGTCTCAGAAGACATGTATCTCATTCACACCAGACAGGCTTCTCCACTTGTCCTGGGCTGTGACCACCAAACCTGAGTCTGGCCTCTGTCCCAGACATTCTCCCCTGTCATGCACGGCCCTTATCACAAGCCTCCGGTACTGTAGCTAATGTGCTCTTTCCTCCCAGGGGCCTCCATGTGCTAGTCTTTCCCTGCCTTGCTCCTCTTCCTTCCACAGGACTGTGAACCCACATGTCCCCGAGCCTCTAGGACAGGGTCAGCCATAAGGTATACAGAGTGTGGTGAGACCCAGGAAATGAAAGCACACCACTCACACTTGAGATAGGGCACTGGCTTTACCCCACAGTTCTGCCAGGTCCCTGCTGCTTGAACCTAGAACATCATGCGTGGTGCAGGTGGATTCATATGTTTCTGTGTCTTCTAGGTCTGTCTGAAGTACTATGAGCATGAGCTTGTGGAGCTGGCCTGCCAGTGCCCCGCGGTAGTATGCTGCCGCTGCTCACCTACCCAGAAGGCCCACATTGTAACACTGCTGCGACAGCACACTGGGAAGCGCACCTGTGCTATAGGTGAGACTCCCTGGGTGGAACGGTGGCCACACCCAGAGCCAGCTATTGGAGGGTGGGAGTGCCATCTTCTTGTTAGTAAAAATTTAAGAGTGATCAGCTTCTTGACATTATAGGCAAAAATGTTCCATCTCTAAAACTAGATTGCTTTTTATCTATATTACTGGAAAATTTTTAAACAATCCCTAATTGGCTGGGGAGATAATGGATATAGGTGTTTTATTTAATGTCTCCTGTTCTTGTGTGCCTTAGGTGATGGAGGAAATGATGTGAGCATGATTCAGGCAGCAGACTGTGGGATTGGAATTGAAGGAAAGGTATTTTTGTTCTTTTGTCACATCTTCAACACATAGTGTACATTTGGTCAGCACATGGTCAGTATATAGTCAACATGTAGTGAGCATGTAGCACATATTTGGTCAACACCTCCCGTACTCGGTCAGCACATATTTTGTGGGTGAATATGTAACAGCCTGGTCTGTCCACACCTGAGCTTCATAATTGGGTGGGAGATAAATAGACCAGCATCTCTCCCTTCTGTTCTTAACTCTGTGGGCTGGGTGCCTGTCTATGAAATGCAGGTTCGTACCAAGTATAATAGTGCCATAATCCCTTGGTGTCTTCCTTCTTCGTAGGATGGCCTGAGGAACCTGTTCTCTTAAGTCATCTGTGGTTAGAACTTGCTGGAGTGTCCCAGAGCCCCTTACCCCTTTCTTGGCCTTCCACAGTTCTTCAGCTTCTCTCTCCTGCTTTATATGCTAGGTGTTTCTCCTGCACAAATGTTTCTGTCTCTGGCCAACCAAACCATGGTTGAGATTTATCTTTGAGTCAGCCTTAATTCCTCTCGTACAGTCACCTAAATTACAGTCACCTAAATAGTTACATACCCCTCAAGACCTATAAAATCGATTAAACACCAATTTGGCTGTTTCTTTCGCTGCTTTATTTTGTAGTGCTTTACAGCAACTTTGTTAGGAGTTTTTTGTTTTTTTGTTTTTTTAAATGTGAGATAACTAAGTGTTAAAGGATAGTCTTAAAGAGGCCCAAGATCACAAAGTTTGGAGTGGGGTGGTGTTACCTATGGCTAGTGCCATACTCCACCTTTTTTCTTAATTTCTGTGCTACCACTAGATTACTGAAGATGAATTCTTCTTAAGTATTTGGAAGTAAATCCTTTGCTCATCACATACAGTGCCTTTAGGCAGCTGTGTAGGCACTAGTACAAGCTCTTCCCTCGACCATGCTGCACTACTGTGGGACATGCCATATGAAGCTTCCAGAGCCACACAGCTGCAGGCTCCTTTTAATTTAGGCCTACTTCTAAAATTCGTCTCTTGGAGTATGTGGTTCACAGCGAACAGTGTTTTACAGAGGTGACTTTGTGTTTCTACTCAGGAGGGGAAGCAGGCCTCGCTGGCAGCGGACTTTTCCATCACACAGTTCAGACACATCGGCAGGCTGCTCATGGTGCATGGACGAAACAGTTATAAGAGGTCTGCAGCTCTTGGACAGTTTGTCATGCACCGGGGTCTCATTATCTCCACCATGCAGGTATTTAAGTCCCTTGTGCCTGGCGTACCGTCAAAAGATAATTTAGAAAAGCCTGTCAGTGTCATGGGAGACTGGCTGTTGTTATATTTTTTTTAGATGTTAGTAGTAAGACCCTCTGGAGAAGCTGCATGCAAATGATATAATTGTGACTAATGGTGCTTGTGTTTTTAATTTATGTTGTTGTGTCTTTTAAGGCTGTGTTTTCTTCAGTCTTCTACTTTGCATCTGTCCCACTGTACCAGGGATTCCTCATGGTGGGGTAAGTGCAATTAAGTGTTCACAGAGGCTTGTGGCATCATAGTGGGAGAACTTTTATTTTGAAAAATATGTGTGGAATATTGAGTAATATTCTGAGTAACTCCTTACAGACTGTTTTATGAAGTTTTTCATTAGATTTTGTTTTCGTGAAGCATAATTTGTGTTAGGAACTAAGTTGGATCTGAGATTTTGTAATAGGGCCTCACACATAAAAAGAGGGACAGAGTCAAGGGCCAGCACATTCAGTCATCATCGTTATTAGCAGTGGTAGAGTGAGCAGGAGTCAGCTGCTCCTCAAGTTTACCCTCTTGTTGTTGAAACAGTACTTCATCATGACCAGCCATCAGCCAGGAAACAAAGGGAAGAAAGTGCCAGGGTGCCCCCTTAAATTTGATGAGATGTGACCTATTCCAAAAGAGTTGCCAGATTCTGTCCTTGGCAGCAGTGAGACCTCACATTCAATGCCACCGAACTATCTTGGACAAGTACACCAAACGCATGGCATGAAAGTTATAATTATAGCTAAGATAATCTTGCCTACCAAATCTGAGAAACAGGAATTTCCTCTGAAATGTGAATTAATTACAGTTTCTCCTTTCCTCATTCTTTATAGTTGTGCCTAGAGATACTAATGTAACTCTTAGTGTGTGTCCAGGCTCTGCTGCTCCCCTCCTACAGTCTGCTGAGTTTATCACTCACTTCAGCCAGGGCTCCATCCTGTGAACAGAGAAATAGAGAAAATAGTGATCACAACCACTAACCTTGATGTTGCTGGCCCTGTTCTGAGCACTTATTCATCCTCATCTCATATCGTTCTGCATGCGAGAAGAGAAAGAAAGACCCAGAAAGCTCAGTAACATGCTCATGAGTCAAGGCCCAGCCCAGAATCAAAACTGGCTGCCTTAGCTTGGCTGCATTTCTGCTTGTTCATACCAGCCCCTTTCTCCATAGCATGAGCTCCCCCATGAGCCACACACAAGATAGACACACAGATTCTGTCATCTGTGGACTCTTAAAAGTGCTTCCTAAATACCATCTTGTCTGACAGGCCTTTGAATCCCCAGAATTCCTAATAAAGTTAGCAGGATGCAAAGGAATAGCAATTTGTGCTTGTACAGGGTTGATAAAAGTGAGGTCCCCAAGTCGTTTGCTTCCCATGCCAGAATAAGTAGGGACACCTCCTCTCATTCCAAGGACTCCTGCCTCACGTTATGTAATATCCCAAACTCAAAACAAAAGTGTTCTCTCTGGCCACTCTTTCATGTGCTTCTCTCCATAACTCGGTGGGCCTTTTTTTAGGGATCTGTGTCATTAGTTAGGTCGGGTCCACCCAGATAGTCAGAATAACCTCCCATTGCAGTGTCCTTAGCTTAATCACATAAACTATCACATTCACTAAGGCTGAAGAGGGTAATGTGGACATCTGGGAGTGGGGGGTATTAGTCTACTGATCACACTATGATATAATTAAGAAAAAGAATGCCTCATATCTCTGGCTTGGGTGTACAGACTGCCTCCCCCAGCCAACTAATTGGCTGTGGCTTTGGAACATGTACTCAAAGGTTAAGTGCTGTACCAGAATGACAGAGACAAAGGAATTGGGCATATTGGAGTAAAGAAGGAGGTAAGTAGAGGTATAGACGTGCTATGAGAGGCGGCAGGTGTTCTGTGTCAGGACTGCGTGTCAGCATGCTGCTGGTGAGACTGTTCTCTGGCTTTGCAGGATCCTGCTGTAGGGAGAACCAGGGTAAAGGGTGCTAGGGAGCTCTGTGTTAACATTGACAATTACACTTGAGTCTGCAATGATCTAACATGAAAAGTTCAATAGGAAAATTTTATTTTTAATCGCATTCAACTCTCTGTAAGAATTTGTGGCTTAAAGTATATTTTACTGTTTACTGGTAGCATTAAAATCCAGGCCAGGAGGATGTCTCTGAGTTCTCTGGCATAGCACGCCTGGGTGTTAGCACCATCCCACCAGCTCCAAGGTCAGGCATCCAGGTCTGATCCTTAATCCCCTCTGTGCTGTCTGAAAACATCCTGTTCCTATTAGTGGCACAGGATCCCTGCCAGTGACTGAGTCAAGACAGGGAGTTGTCACTAACATGCATGGTCCCCCAGAACCATGACAATTCCTTTCTATACATCCAAAATCCTGTCAGCTAGAATCAACTTCCTAATGACTAGATCTGCACTGCCACTTGCTCAGGCCCTAGAAATTTATTCCAGCACACAGCACCCTAGTGGAAATCTGATGGTGTGCTACTGCCTTGTAAACATGGTGATGTGAGTTAATAACAAAACAGGATAAAATACATAAAATGGATAAAGTCAATAAAATTTAATAAAATCCAGGAAGAAGGAGTGAAAGGGAAAAGAAGGATACCTTATGTTTAAATAGCAGTGTGCTACCTAAAATTTCCTGAGAATGAATTTCAGTCCTCTACACAACAAACCTACTTTCAGCCTATATCAAGAAGATATGCTAAAAGAGATAGATCTAGAGAACAACATTTGTGGAAGGAAAAATAAATCTATGGAAACTGTTTAAAAATGTGGTGATTCAGGTTATCTAATTCTGTGAAGATTTCTTGAGGTTGCATTATGTCACAGATAAGAAGACTTCCTTTCTTGGTGGGGGTTGCTGGTGGCCTGCTGACCATGTCTCACCTCCCAAGACCAGAGAGGACCCTTTTCTTGAGCCAGCAGATGGCCTGCCTTCAATTGTGCTTTTGGTGTCCTCCTCCTGCTCTGACTGCACTCACTGAAGCTTGTTTTTTTGGCTGTTGATCTTTCCCTTTCATTCGGTCAAGAAAAGGAGGATGAGTTAAGTAAACACAATATTCCAGCAATGGAGTCAGTATTTACTCATGTATGGAACTCAACCCCTTTTACTAGAAATAGCCCAGTTTCAAGACTCATATTTTTCCTGGCATGATGATTAGCCTGTTTCTTTCTACCCTCCATTTTCCTCAGCCCTCCTTGGTATTTTCTCTACATTTCCTCCTTGAGTTCTTTCTTGCTGTCATCCTTCTCCTGCTGGTCAGTGACAAACATCCAGCATCCAGCTCTACTTCACAGAAGGTAGTAATGCCCCAGGCTGTCAAATTAGCATCTCTACCAAGCCTGGCCCCTCTTCTGGGAGGTATTTCTGTGCTCACCTCAGCAAGTTCATGTTCCTTGAGCATTGGGGTCCTCTTCTGGACTTGGTTGACACTTTTATTTTCCTGTGGTTTGCACTGCACTTGGGCACATCTTGACATGTATCGTATGGTGCTCTTCATGAGTGACCTGAGCTGCATGTGGAAGGGAGCTACTGCCCAGCCAGAAATCTTTCTGAGTAGGTTTGAGAGAAAGCCATCATCTTTGCCATGTTTCTGAATTAATTCATCAGATGCCTGATTTTCTTCTTTTTCTTTGTCTGAATTTCTTCCTTGTCCTTCTGATGTTCATTGCCCTCTTGTCATTTCAATCCCTTCAGAGAGACAGAGTCATCATGTTTGTCATATTTCTGAATTTATCAGGATCCTGATTTCCTTCCTTCTTTTTCTGAATTTTTTTCTTGTCCTTCTGATTTTTCATTGTCCTCTGTTTTGTTTTCTTGATCATCTTCTTGATTTCCTAGAAATTACTCAAGCAGTTTTTCTGGCCAATCCACTGGTTAGTGAATTGTCTTCTTTTTTCTCGTTGCTTGTCCATCAGCTGGTTGTCTCCAGTGACATTCTGATAAGCTATTGAGTCTTCATTTTCAGAGTCTTCATCATGATCCTGGATGAAGTCAGTGCTTGGTTTGCAAATGTGATTTGGGTAGTCCTGGATTTGAGCTTTTCTGTCTATGAACTTTCCTGTCTGTGAGTCATCTTATATTTTCTGTTCCTTCTGGCTGACCAACCCCCTACCCATTGTTCATACCAGGTTGTATTCTCATAGTGACAGGTAAGTATGACCTTTGAAGGAGATTGTGATCTCTTAGGGAAAGATATAGGATGAAGGGAGATCCATACAGAGGCTTTCCTTGTAATTGAATTTTGAATAGGACTGTACTGAGTCTGAGGAGTTACTGTAGAAAATTAAGGAAACCATGAAATTATAGAGCTGAAACTTCAATCTCCAGATCCTGAGACTTCAGAGGAAAAGTTTAAAAGATGTTAGGGAGAAGGACAGAGTCATGAACTTAAGTAATAAAATGGCCCATTTCCTTTTTCTGTTCTGAATTATCTCATTCAGATAAAAGTACGTCCTATAAACCCCCCTTCTTGGAGGGGCAAAAGAGGCATTTCTTATTCTTGAAAATCTTGTATTATTATGTAATAATCCTGTCTACCAAATATGACCAGATCCCTCTAATCTTTTGTCTTATGAGAGTTGAATGAACTTGTATCATAAAAGAAAATATTGAATGAAATTCGAAAAACACAGGAAAGTATAAAGATGAAAACAGTTATGCCTTTGATCTCACCACCCAAAGATAAGGACAGTCATTGTTGAATCAGTTTGTAGATTTTTAAATAATCTTTACTTTTACTTCATTGTACATATATGCATGTACACATATACATATATATGTAAATTTTTCATTTATGTGGGGATGTCACAGCAAGAGAAACTGAGCTTATTAAATTTTATGGCACAGACTATGGTAATCCTACATGGCTACTCAGTGATTCTTAGCTACTCCCTTATTAATGACTGTTTATCACCTATCAGTGACCACTAGGTTAGACATTAAATGACTATTAGAATATTATCACTATTAACACTTATCCTGTGAGTGACCAGTAGGTATAAATATAAACCTACAGCAAACTCATTCATTTATCTGTAAATTAGTGGCCATATCTTCCATATTTTTATATATGGAATCTATGGATATAATTCACAAATATACTGCAACCTTATGATAGTCCCTACCAAATTGCTTTCGAGAAAGCGTATATCTATTTATATAACCATCATTATCTAAATAATGACATATTTAATCCATCTTTTCCCATGATACTCAAGTTGTTGAGTGGCATGGAAGAGCATGTGCCCCCCACACACGCACACATGCACGCATGCACTCACACACACGTTCCTAGTCTGCCCTGATAGCTGCTCACCTGAAAGATAAGCTCTTGATATCTGAGGTTTGATCAGGAAATGTAATCCTTCCAAATTTAGGTCTCCATGACCAAGAGAACACATAAGTCTGTGTTCTGTGACTGTTAATTACTATGGCAATAGAAGAACTGAGTTATAATAAAAGAGGAAAAAGAGAAGCAAAAGGGATAGTAGACCACAAGAGGCTCCACCCTTGCCTCCAAAATACTCTGTATACACGTTATGGAGCCTAAAGAATATTCCTCTTGTTGGCAGAAGCACAAATGTCATGGAGGTTGCTTCCCTCTTCTATTGTGGAGTCTTAAGGTGATCTAGGTTCTCTGGTAATTTAGAGCCTCTGAAGAGATATACATCAACAGACTAGTAGAGTGTAAGTGCAGCAGAAGAACTTAAAAAACTAAGCTTTGTATACTCCTCCTTTCCAGGGTCACTCCATAGCACATCCACTGAATGACTGCAGAGGTCAAGGGCAAAGCTTAGTTTTGCCACAAAAGGATATCCTCCCAGCCCTTGGTTGCCTAGATGGTTCCCATGTCTCTGTGGTTTCCAGTACCTCCCTCATCCCTGTATTTCTGTTCTGTTCATTATCCCAGCCTGAAATCATGTTCTAAGAACCCCACTATCACTCCAGCTGTCAGCATTCTGGGGACCAGGCCACTCTCGAGGTCCATCCAGGTCAAGCTACTTCAATCACAGAGATTTTTTTTTCCCCCCTGTTTGGCTGTGGGTACAACCATTGAGATTTCTGTCCATAATGAGAAGTTACCTGCCACATTTGTCCTTTCCCAGGATCTTTGTATATGTGTTTGTGGAGCTTGTCTCACACCTTCTACCTTCTCTCATAGGTCTTCCCCCATGATTTTCCTTGCTGTATGAGTACTCAAACAATTTCAACGAACACATGCTTTACCTGGCTAGGGTGAACATTCCTATTTTTGCTGTTTTGTTCTGGTTTGGTTTGGATTGGTTTGGTTTGGTTTTGTCATGACAGGGTCTTACTATGTAGTTCAGGCTAGCTTTTAAACTCACTCTGTAGCCCAGGCTAGCCTGACTGTGATCCTCCCGCCTCAGCCTCCTGAGTGCTGGAATCTGTACAGGTGTATGCCACCACACCTAGTGATGTTCCTTTTCTTAAACACATCTGGTGGATGTGTATATTGGTAGAAACTTTAACAAAGCAATTTTCAAACATTTCCCTAAAGCCTTATAATTCTGTAAAATAGACACTTTGGCTTAGTAATTCCACTTATGAGGAAGTATCCTGAGTAAATAGATACACTGAAAATTCTAAGCAAGGATATTTATTACTGTATTATTCATACCAATGAACAGGTAGAAATGATCAAGTTTTGCACAATAGGAAAAGAGTACAATAAATGTCAAATTTAAAAACAGAAGCAACATATCAAAATCTTAATAGTTGTTATGTCTGAATATCTCTGGGATTATCACTGGTTATCCCTAGAGTACAGTGGTTTCCTTTTCCCTGTTCTACTTTTTATAATGTGCCTATAATATAATCACACAGGGGTAATCGAAATGGAGATTTCCATCCTGCTAGGCTGGGCGCTGTCCAGAAACTTAACTGGGTTTATCTAGTTCCCTCACTAGTATATGATGTGTAATTTGTCTCTTGACTTACTGCAGTACCCATCAACCTTCTGCCTAAATTAAAACCTTAATCTTTTGTCACATTTATTAAACAGCGAGAGTCCATGGTTTAAAAAACTAAAATGAATTAACCCACTCTAAAAAATACAAACGTTATTTTAACATTCTTTGTTTTAAATATAATTTTATTCATGTTAGTTTGATGTTAGGTGATAATGTTTCTAAAACCCAAGGGGTGAGATTTCTTTTTACTTTGTAGTTTTTTGTGTTTTTTTTTTCTATTTTGAAGATAATAACACACCATTTGGACTTTAGCTTAAAAAGTGAGCTCTCTCACAATTTTCAAGTTCGGATACTTGGTAGGAAGTTTTAGGGAAAGAAGGGTAGGTCTGAGTTAAATATGCAGGAGTTTCCCGGTGAAGAGTTTCTGTTCTGAAATGTGAATTTGGGCTCTGAGTGGCTCACTTAAGTTTATTCTCACAATTTGTGGCTGAACTTGGGTTATGTGACTCCCAGAAACTTCGTGTGTCTCACATTTTGACAGGCCTGAATGCACGTCATTGTTTTTGTTCACAAGTGTAAGGACTTGAGAATAAAAAGACCATTTAGTGGTATCTGTACAGTGATGCACCTAAAGCTATCCATGTCTAAAGGAATTGAACAGATTCAAATTGTATTGAGTGCCAGCCATTCTTGGCCAAAGTTCATACCTCACATATGGATCATGTGAAGGAAGATCAAGTACTATATAGTGTTGGGATTGGCTGTGGGGTTGTGTTTTTGTTTTGTTTTGTTTTGGGGGGGTTAGTTTTGGTTTTGGTTTTGGTACCAGGTATCAAACTCAGGACCTTGCACTTGAAAGGCAGGCGCAGTGCCACTGAGCTAAAACTCTGGCCCTGGCTGTGGGTTTTTTGGACACCCTCTGAATTGCACAATAGGTATGTTTTCACCTCCCTTTTAGTTAAGGAGAACTAAGCAGTTGATATAAATGCACTTAAGTTCAGGATAGCAAGTGTGCTCATTTCTAATATGTGTATCTTTGTTAACAGAGCAAATTTAATTTCCCCTGGTGAAAGGGACTAAAGATGCTATTTTCATAAGCAAGTCTATTCATAAAAATCTTTTCTTCAGGAAAGCAAAGTCACTCACTATTGAGTAGAAATAGGGATGCCCATTGTGAGGTGTATTAATTTATAAATGCTATAACAGTTGCATGTGTGTCTAGAGCCTGCCTCACACCCTCTACCTTTCCTGTATCTTTCCCCATTATTTTTCTCACTACTTGAGTACTCAAACAAGTCACTGCTGTCCAGTGAACACTTGCTTACCTGGCTAGGATGAACAGGTAGTACTGTACTGTATTGGTAATTGTACCTCTGTAATCTTGTTTTATGTGCCTAGGACCTAGCTCATTTCAGTTATTTTACTGGCTCTTTGTCACCCTTTACTCCATTTATAGTACTTGGAAAAATTTCATTTTGTTGGGGTTGTATGAGTTCGTTATAGGGATAGCTAATGAAGTTCACTTTATTTGGACAAAAATGAAAACATAAGGTTAAAGGTCTGTAGCCTCTTCTCAGACACCTGTGATGATAGGTGATCAAACAATTGGTCCTAAATGAGAACCAAGACCTGTCATGTAGAGGTACAAGATCCCAACAATGAATGTAACTGTACTGTATCCCCAAAATGTACCAATAAACTCAATTAAAGCTGAAAAATAAAAATTGGTCCTAAACAGTCATGGATTCCTGTGTTTTTGAAAAGTATAAGTTATCTCAGACAGACTGTCTCTTGAAGGTACCTCCTATATTCCAAAATACATTTTTTATGTGGCTTGTGATAGAAAAGGAGCTATTCTCAGAAACAAACAAAAAATTCTTGATTTTTTTCCACACTTAATGTGAGAGGGCTGAGTAGGAATCAGGGAAGTTGATCTTTTACAATGGGGAAGGGGGGACCAAGGGAGAATGGAAGGGAAACTAAAAAGAATTAAGATGTGGCAACTCCCCACAATGAATGTAATCATCACACACTGTAAACATAAACTTTTAAAAGTATTTTTAATTTTTTTTTTAAGAGTATGCTATTATTGGTGGGAATGACACTTCCCTAGCATGCCCAAGGCCCTAGGTTTGATACCCAGCACTGCCAAAAAAAAGAAAAAGGAATGTGCTACTATGCTATGAGATGAATACCTAGTTTTCAGGAAAGTATTACTTGCTATCAACTTGGGGTTTTTTGTTTTGTTTTTTATAGAACGTTTTATTTTTGAAACTGTCACACATCTTTAATTCCTCAGATGTGTTCATAGTTGTACCATAAATATCTGTCAGGCTGACTTAATGTTCTTCTTCCTTTCTGAGGTATGCAACTATCTACACCATGTTCCCAGTGTTCTCTTTAGTGTTGGACCAAGACGTGAAGCCAGAAATGGCAATTCTGTACCCGGAGCTGTACAAGGAGCTCACCAAGGTATGACTGCATGACAGACTTCTGTCCAGCCACAGCATACGACCTGCCATGGGACAAGGAGAAAAACGAGCATTTTGCCTTTCTTTTCTTTTCTTTTTTCTTTTTTTTTTTTCTTTTTCTTTTTTTTTTTGTCTCTCATTGAGTTTATTGGTACATTTTAGGTATACAGTACAGTTACATTCATCATTAGGATCTTGCACCGACTGTTACATGACAGGTCTTGGTTCTCATTTTTCCCCTTGTCCCTGCCCTCCCTTCACCCCCTCCTCCCCTCCCCCTTTACAAACACTTCATTTCCATTTTTTCATTTTCTCATATTTTTTTATTTTCCCTTATTACCTTTCCCCTATCCCTCCCACTTTCCCTACACATTTAGCCCCTTTCTTCCTATTTCACTTTGTCCATTATCTCATTAGGATCTTATGTACTATTATAGTTTTTCACACCAGAGAAACTATTTGGTATTTACACATGTGTGACTTATTTATTTCACTTAGGAGTATCTCCTCAATACGTATCCATTTTCCTATGAATGACTCTAATTTCTCATTCTTTACAACTGAGTAGTATTCCATTTTATAGAAAAACCACATCTTCTTTATCCAGTCTCCAACTGATGGGCAAATGGGCTGTTTCCAAGTTTTAGCTATTGCAAACTGGGTGGCCATGCCCTCCCCTGCCTGTGACACCATCAGCTCCAGCGGAAGGTGGAAAACATACATTTTGAAACATTGTTTGAATAATTATTTCCTATCTTCCCAGACATTTTTTATTGCTCCTAATTAGTTTTTGACATTTTCCTTTTGAGTTAAACTTCAAAGGGGGAAAATGTGCCAGGGAAAAAATTCTTCCAAATATTTGCAATAGATGTCTCATTTCATTCATAAAATTAGAATTTCACTTTTATGAATTTAGCAGACAGATTTACAAGTTTCCCAAATGGCTGAAAAGCACTCATGCTCGTGCCTACATGAAGTATGCTCACTTGGTATGTCTCCACCTGCTTGACATTGTTACCCCACCAGAGGACTACCTTCCTACTTATCTGCTGCAGACAGTCGCATTCCAAAAACAAGAGTCATTAACTAGGCATTTCCTGTGCATTCCCAGTCTTCTCTCTAGTTGTTGGTTTCAAAATTATGTCTGAAAAATGATTATATCTCTATCCTTTGGGACTTTATACTGTTAGTGATGCTCAGAGAAAAAGTCCACCCAGAAAATTCTACTAACCTGGCTCTATACAAGCGAACCACTCACTTGGCTTGGAGCTGTTCTCTGTTAAGAGTAAAATTTTCCTAAAAGAAGTTTTCAGTTTGTGTTTCCATATAAAAGCATATTTTGTAGCATAGAAAATGTAAGCACAAGAAGCAGAGAGAGAGAGAGAGAGAGAGAGAGAGATCTTTCTCAAATGGGAAGGGAACCAAGAGATGAAGGGCTGGGAGAGGGAAAGGTGTTGTAGCAGGAGTTAATACCAAATTACTCAGGTGCACCATTTAGTTAAATGAGGCTCAATCCATGACAAAAGTCACACTACACCACAAGAAAGTGAAAGTAAAGATAGCTTTATTACAAGGTTAAGTAATAAGAATAGTAGAAAGTATGACAGATAGAAGTAATACATCACCAGCCTAGGTAGCAACTTGTCTCAACACTCTAGGACAAATCTCAAGACAGTGGCTGGGCAGAATCCCTGCATGCAGTTCTAAGAGTCTCCCAAAGTCTGCTTTTTCCCTGCATCGTGCTTTTTCTCTGTATCATGTTACACAAAGATGGCCTCATGTCAATAAGATATATATGTCTCAGAAGAAGTCTGCTCTAGGCTCTGTCTAGGAACCAGGGCAGAGTCCTTGTACCAAAAATTTCAGATTAAGGTGTTTATTCCCTCAAGGGCAGGCTCTTCCTCCTCAAGCCCAGCACATACAGAAGTCACACTTATGTCACATGAATCTGAGTAACTTTCCATGTTCCCTTCACAAGGAGATGTGTTATATACACATATCAACTCCGCACAAGGATTGTAAACATTATATACTGCAAACATGTACCAAAAGCTCACCTTTCTGAAGACAAATTGTGAAAAATTTGAAGTTCTCCACATAGCTGGCTTTTCTCTAGTCAACTCTGAGAACAAATTCTACTAACATTCAGTTAAATTCAGGTTTGTAGCTGATACTTAGAAATTATTAACTCAGATTTTTAAGGCTGTCATGGTGTGATATAGTACACACAAAAAAAGAATTAGATTAGGTGTCTTCAGGAGATTCTAGTCCATCTGACCACTAACAGACTAGGCTCTAGCCCGAGTACAGTAACCACTAACAGACTAGACTTTATTGCAGCTAGCTATTAGCAGACCAAACTCTATAATCTTGTTTACCACTAACAGGGCAGACTAGAAAATCATTAGCTAATACTAGACTGTAGTCCATTTGACCACTAACAAATCAGGAGTAGGCCAGCTGACTAGTAACTAGCCAGAGAGGGGCTAAGTGAATCATTTTGCCTTTGGAGTTTATGGTATTATCTTAAGAATCTGATGAAATAAAGACTTTAAAGTTCCTTCAAAAAAAATACAAAATGCTCATATACTTCTAATATTCAGGATAGATAGCTCACCAATAATATAAAGTAAGGTATAAACATCCAGCTTTGTTATCATGATGATAATATCATTGGGACTATCAGGAGAGATTATCCCAAATTATACATATTATAACTAGAAAACGGACTTTTTGTTTAATATCCTAAAATCATGAAATCATTTTGATGAAGGAGAATGAGGTCAGAGATCCAAAAACAGGAAGTTACAGAAATAATTGTAGTTCAAGTAGCTTAAGTGTTCATTTTCAGAAACTACACATTTGCTTAATGCTGCCTCACAAATGGAAGGCAGAAACAAACTTTGAAGAACATAAGACTAGAGTACCTAGCCTTAACCCTGGACATTTGGTATCCAAACAGTTGCAGTTGCTATAGGTCTTATCACACCCAGGCATTGCTGCTGGATCTCCAGGGTCAGGGGAAGTCTTGTTGGCAGGACTGTGATAAAGGCAAGCACAATCTTTACCAGGGATCGGAGAAAAGAACTAGAACAGGTGAAGACTTAAATTATACCCACCAGCATATTCCTTTATGGATATCTGAATTAGTAATAAAAAGAAATCTATTAGGTTACAGGTGTCTGACAAAGTAGCTTATTATCTCTGACTATACCCGTGGAGTTGGTACCTGTCATTAGGTGTCACCATTTAAACATGAGGGGATGTGTGCAGTTCTGAGTGAATTGCATATCAGAAAGGGTCTTAAATTTCCATTTTTATTAAGATGATCAACAGTACACCTTAAAATAGAACACTTTTTCTACATATTTTTTAATAAGAACTTGGCCATTCATTTCCTCTTCATTCCTTATCTTTATGATCCAGAAGTCTATACTTTTTATCTTTGTAATATCTAATTCTTTAAAATGTAGTATACTTCAAATCCTTCCAAAATAAGTAGCATGAAAATGATTTCACCCTGAGTTTTTGTCTTAGTAAAGCTAAAGAAGTATTGTGATACTTTTTATTCCTTCTGAACCCCTTGCCAAGCATCAGCATGGCCACTTGGTCCTGAATGCTCTTCTCTGTACTCATTATGGCCAGAGGCGGGAGACATCGTGCCAGGGCTGCAAGGACACAAGGCTTGGTCCCTGCTCTTAGCAAGCCTGCATTTTATCAGGAAAAGAAAACTTTAAGTTCCTGATAAACTGTTAAATGAGCAGTGACATAAGACAGCAGCATGATATGTGATGGGTTATAAGTAATTGTCCACTGTTCATTTATTCAGATAGTTTTAATCATGCACCCTAAATCACAGTAAATTTATGACATTCCTTTGGAGCTCGTCAAGGACAGCAGAGGATACATCTCTTTGTACCACAGAGGAGAACTACTGTACTTTGCAATAAAATAATCCTGGGGTTTTTTTTCATGTGCATTTAATAACCATTCATTTTAGTCTAAGAGTAGAAATAATGCAAGCGTTACTGTTCTGATGAGATTAGCCCTAAATATAAAATGTTCTTTTGTTGCCCATTAGTATCTGTTGCCACATATGGTTTGGGCCACAGAGACAGAGATACCTGGTGTCTATCTGATCAATAAATAAAATATTTGATGAATGATTGAGGGATTGAACAAATCAACTAAACAGAGAAGTAACATTTTTCTTCTCTTTTGCAGACCATATAATCAGTATTCCTTACCAAAAAAATGATATTTTCAGCAAGAATATTTTGATGTTCCTCTTTTAAAGCCCAGATTCTTCTTTGAATTATTAAACTCTACTCATGATGTGTCTGTTACTTTAAATTTCTGGATGTTCCTGAAAGTCAGAGAATTATATGCTTCTCCCTTTCCTGAACCTGCAAATGTCTCCATTTACTTTGGATGGTGTATAACTTCTTAAGAAACTACCAAGTCTGAGGTCCAGGGAGCGGTCTAGTGGTGGCCTGTGAGGTAATTCTGACTATGGCTGAATTTAGTTAGCAGTTTACAGCCCTGCATCATTAGCTAACTTCAGAGACTTCTTTATACTTGTATTGCAAATATATCAAGTAGTAACAGCATGCAACTCCTCACAAGAACTGAGAGATTTTTAGACATCATACCATTAGGACTGCTGCACTGCTGCTTTTCTGTAGCACATTCTCAAAATGATTTTATCTTTTGAAATGTTTATTTATGTCCTTATATAATTTTTAACATAATGGTGAATAGGTCAATAAATATTATCTCTTTTTCTTAAATCAAATATCTATAGTAAGTATAATCACCTGACTGTTCAGCTATGTTATATAGTTATAATCAGACATTTGAATATTGAAGTATGCATTATTTTATTTTTTAAAAAGAAAGGATATACTAAGAATGAACAGATAAGTCCAAAACATATAAAATACCTTTAATAGTAACACACAAACAGGTGGAGCACTAGTAAATCTCTGACAGAATGTACAG